TCACTGGTTTGTTGGTGACTCCTTGGTGTCCCTGTAGTGGCTCCCAGGCAGCGCTGGCTCCCAGTGACACTGTCCCATGTCAGGGGGGATGGTAGTGGCTTTGTCTGGCACAAGGACACCCGGGCTGTCCCACCCTCATCCCTGTGGGCTCCCGTTGTAGCGCTGTGGGTGGCCGGGTCCCCTGCGACCTCCCATGCCGACTGGCATTGTCCCCAGTGCCCGGGGACTTCATGAGCCACGGTGCTGCCCGGGCCATGGTGTCCTTGGCAGGCAGTGGCCGGGAGCTGGGATTGTTTTTTGGCTGGGGAGGGAGCGTTTCCTCTGGAGCGGGTGACTCAGGCGGGCACTGCGGGGATGGGCACTGGTGTGGGACCAAGCTCCAGCCACACTCCCTGTGCTGTTCCCAGGGGCACCACTGGCAGCTGTACCAGGGGTGCTGCGGCCACCCGAGGGATGCCACCACCCAGCACCCACCCTGGTCCCCTCATCACCCGTGGGACATGGAGAGGGGCCCTGGGGAGGCTGGGGGCTGCTCCTGTCCCCGTGGCACACGGCACATGTCCCCCTGTGCATGGCTGCCAGCCTGGCTGTACCTGCTGTCCCCAGATGACCCGGGGACGACAACATGGGGACACCGAGGGGACAGGCCACATGCCCACAAATATTGCTGCCAGCTGCAAAACCGGCTGAAAAAAGAGGATGTGGAGGTGGAAGCCACGTTCGCTCCAAAGCAGGGTGGGGAAACTGCCTTGACCATTGCTCCAGGCCCCCAGATCGGGGCACGCCCAAAATGGGGCAGACCCTGAATCAGGGCACCTCTGACCCCATGGAAGGGGCTGCCCCCCATCACCTTTTCTGGTGACGTTTGAGACTTCTTAACCGTTCGGACATGGGGCAGGCACTCGTGTTGGTGAGTGCCCCACGGGTGCTGGGTCTGTGTGGGAGACACAGTGTCCCCACTGACCGCCCCTGTCCCCCCAGGTCTGCTGCTGCAGGAGGACCACCTGGACGCCCTGTCCCTGCTCTGCCTGACCTCTCTGCCCAGTTTCTGCCTGCTCTTCGGGGCGGCCGTGGCGCTGGAGCTGGGTCCCTCCTGGGAGGGAGTCCTGCGCTACGACGGCAGCCTCTGGGCCTGCGTCCTGCTCAGCTGCCTGGGCTCCGTGCTCTACAACCTGGCCACCTTCTGCGTCCTCTCTCTCACCTCTGCCCTCACCGTCCACGTCCTGGGCAACGTCACCGTGGTGGGCAACCTGCTGCTGTCCCGCCTGCTCTTCGGCAGCCACCTCAGCGGACTCAGCTACCTGGGCATCGGGCTGACGCTGGCGGGGATGTTCATGTACCACCAGCCGGACCTCATTGCCGCACGCTGGGCGGCTCGGCCGCGGCGGGGCCCCCCGAGGCAGGAGTGAAGCCCCCCTTGGGGATGGGGTTGGACGGGGAAGCGGGGAGGCCACGGCCTGCGGGGCTCTGCGGGGACGCAGGGCAGGGCCTGCGGGTGTGCACAGCTCTGCAGTGCGCAGGAAAGCTGCGTGTGTGGTACTGCACACGCGTGTGCTGGGGTGGATGGCTCTGTGCACGCGTGTGCTGGGGGGTGTGGTACTGCACACACACGTGCTGGGGTGCACGCCGTGCACACAGGTGTGCTGAGCTACACGGTACCGTGTATACAAGTGTGCCAGTGTGCACAGCTCCGTGCACACGTGTGTGTGGTGTGCACAGCTCTGCTCACACGTGTGTGTGGTGTGCACAGCTCCGTGCACACGTGTGTGTGGCGTGCACAGCTCTGCTCACACGTGTGTGTCGTGTGCACAGCTCCGTGCACACGTGTGGGGTGTGCACAGCTCCGTGCACACGTGTGTGTGGCGTGCACAGCT